TCACTGGCCCTCATATGTGGGATCCAAACTGGGGTCCTCTGGCATCCCAAGCCAGCTCTTAACCAATGCGCCACTCGGCCGGCCCCCTCCTTTCTTAATAAGTTGCTTCAGCAAACACATATAAGGTCTGTATTGACTATTAACATTACCCATATTAGTAAAAAGAAAGAAAGGAATAAGTTTCACTCAAATTTCATTCAGGTGCCCATGTGGCCGAGTCCCTCGCGGGACTTTTCAGGTCCGCATTGGCTAAGGTACACCTGTATAAATCCCAGGCCTGGTTGGCATATTGCCAAGTTACCGTTATGCCTTTATGGCTGGACCACAGAACCACAGGTTAAGGCCCAAACGAACTCCGTAGCAAAAAACTGTGGAGCTGTAATCAATCACTCACACTTCCACACAAAAGTTTAGAATTTAGTTAATTCCTCAGTTATCCTGGTTAAAGCTTCCGGGATCTACCCTGCCCCCTTACCAGGCAGTTTGCCATGACTCCTCTCAGGCCCTTGTCAATGTTGAATTTTTTCTTTTCTTTTTCTTAGACTCTAAGTCTTTCCTCTTTGAGCTCCCACTTTGGGCACCAGATGCCATGTCCCGCGTATCATGGGCTGTGATAAGTGAGAGGGGATGGTGCAGGGTTAAAGAAATACAAGAGACAACGATAGATTTAAGACACGAGACCAAGGGGCTGCAGTTCTTTCTCTCCAGAACTGAGTGCCTAATCGGTCCAACGTGAAGCTTTTGTTAAGAAACTTCAAAGGAGTAAAACTTTTTAAATTTTTTCTAAAGTCTATGTGATAAGTGCCTTAAGGCCAGTTTCCATCAACCAGCCCCATTGTACTCCAACACATGCTGTGCCTTCGGACTCCTACACATATAACCCCCAGGATGGTGCAGCTGCAGCTGCGGCCATGAAAATAAGGGAGATAACTGACATCATTCTGCTGGGTCCCAGTTTTCCAAGACACTCCCTCGTGACCTTGTTAGGTCAGGGGCTGGTGTGGGGGGGCAGTTGAGGATGAGGCTGTAAGGCAACATTTTGTGAGTCCAAGCAGCTTTTTAATTTTTTCCTGACTATTCACAGGCATTAAATATTAAAGTAACAACAATCTTAGAATACTCTTTGATGATACAGTCCCTACAGGTACTTTATAACACTCAGTTAGCCAGTGCAACAAATAAGTAAAAAAACATCATATCCAAAGGGAAGACCTACCCACTTTATACAGGGAGTCAAAGAGCTGGGAATTATTGCTATTCAGAAATAGCTAAATATAACACACCCTCTATATGCACCCTTCTGTAAGAGGAGGCTGAAAAATAGCTCTCTGCTTTCAATTTGCCCAGTTGAGCCAAATGTCACCCTGCTTAGGTGGTGGGACAACCAGGCTTACAGAAAATGAGACTGAGTTGAAGGCTCTCCTTTGTCTGCCACCTTCGGCCCTAACCCCAACCCTCCTGGGAGGGAACAGGCTCCAGAAACAAGTTGGAAATTAGAGACTTTTTGTTGTTGTTGTTATTTTTGCTTTTTTCTTTATTTTGGTGTTTTATTTCTATCTGAAGACTTATCTAGTTTCTTATTCAAGGGAAATAAACCACTGTTCCCATCTTGTCCTCAGGGCGATTGCCGTACACACTGCTAGTCCAAAATTCTCCAGCTTCGTTTTCTACCAGCTTTGAGTAAACATAGATCTGCTGCCCCTTTTTAATGTTAATGAATCTACAGCCTGGATCATTATAATCGTCTTGAGCTCTGGCCAGAGAAATAGTATAGACCAGGGGTTGGCAAACTTTTGAGACAGAAGAGCCATCAGGGGTCAGCAAACTGTGGCTCGTGCACCACATGCGGCTCTTTGGGTACATACATGTGGCTCTGAAGTAAAATTGAAAATGAAATTAAAACTATTAATATCATAGTTTCATTTATAAAATTTTAAAAAGGATATTATTCACATAATGGTGATTATGTAAAAATATATTTATGGCTCTTGAATAATTTTTAAAATTGTTGTGAGGGACAGGATTGGCTCTTCCAGGGGTCGGCAAACTTTTGAGACAGAATGTACCCAAAGAGCTGCATGTGGCTCGTGAGCCGCAGTTTGTTGACTCCTGGTATAGACACACTAGTTATCTCCACAGAGTTTCTTGGAAGCAAGCCTGTCCATAAATGTTTCATGCATGGCACCTACTGCTATAAGACCTGGAAGGAAAAGTAACAAGAGTCTTGCCATCTTCCTTTTTGCTGTTTATACTATCACCCTTTAAGTGGAACTGCAGGCTACCATTTTCAATACCACCTAAACATATTGACCCAGTATAAAAAGTAGATCTGTGTTAGAGATGAAGTTTCACAGTTTACCTTCCCAGACTTGTTATTAGCATTTCACACATTCTTGGCTTTTTTGTATGCCTCACAGATGAATTCAAATTTAAGCATAATTCCACTACAGCGTGATGTTAATTAGGGAGTTTTCCCAAATCTGACAACATTAATGCTATGTGACGTTTCTGAGGCTTCACAGCTTACTGTATTTTTCCATGTATAATGTGCATCCATATTTTTGGCCCAAATTTTCAAAGAAAACATCTTTTGTTTTAATTTTTTAATTCAAATTTTTATTGTTTACATTTAGGTACTTGTTTTTTGTATTATAAAATAATTTTAGCATTTATTTTTTAACATAATGATACAAAAAATTTTATGCAACAAATAATAACAAAATACAAGAACAGATACAGGTACAAGAAATTTTATTTACTGGTAACAAATTTATGATATTTATGCATGATAGAAGGCCAAGAACTCTTCTTCATTGCAAGTTTGTCATAAGTTCAACAAACCTGATTATCATATTCCAGGGTATTATAAATACCAAATATTAACTGGACTATTTAAAAATCAATTCCAAGAATCTCTGTATATTAAAAGATGAGTTAAGAGTTTTGCACTTACTTTGACTGCTGATATTCTTAGACTAATACTATCATATTTTATGTTTCATTATTCTGTATTTTTCCCTTTATTTCATTATTTTGTTTTGATTGAGTTTCCCTTACTCCCCGATTGTGAGCAACAAATGTATTTAGTTACAAGAGATAAAAAGCCTAAGTATAAATGGTATAAAGAAACAGACTTTATTTGTAGAAGTAGACAATTTCTGGTGTTAGCTCTGCCCTTAATGACATCAGGGCCAGTGTGGCTGAGATTCTCTTGGCCTTTTTCTCAGGCTTCTCATCTCAAGAACATAAGCTGCTGTAACTCCAGGCATCATGGCCCCATTCCAGGCAAGGATATGGAAAAGGGGGGATGTTCAAGGGGCTTTGTGACTGAATCAGGCTCTTCCTCTTTAAAGAAAGAGTTTTCTCAGCAGCAGCACCCATGAATCTCCACTTCCATATCATTGGCCAGAATTCCATCAGATTGGGCACCCTTGACCAGCCCCTGGAATGAGGTGGGTTAATCATCTAAGTGGTGTTGTCTACCACATGTACTTTTCAATTGTTTTGTTATGATACATACTGTTTTATTGTTTTAATGGTTACTGGTACATTTTTAAAATAAGAAC